CCACCAGCTCCTGACTCGACCATCTGCATTTCGGGGAGAAGGAGCAGGATTCACGTCATCTGAACTTAAGAAATTGCTCTTCATACTATTCAAGTAGCTCTGCTATGGGAGGGGGTCAAGAAGCAAGTCATGGAGGAGACGCTGCTGCCGGGATAAAGGAGGGGTCAGTAGCACGGCCTTCGGCACTGTTGGCGATGGTTGTGCAGATGTGTTTTCGAGATTGGTGTGTGTCAGGAAATGTTGAGTCCCAGTGACCTGTTGGTGATGACAACTGATATCCAAACCTTCTCTCCTGACGTGTGCAGCTGATTCCTTTCCTTCTTGTTTGGAAGGCAAGGAGAGGTTCTCAGTCTTGACCGCTGAGAGTAAGGGCAAAACAGGTTGGAAGATGGAAGAAGAAAGACGAAGGGAAGGAAGTGAATTCCTGAGAGACAGGCGTCGAATGGGTCCCCAGGCAAGAGTCGGGGGAGTCAACGGAGAGCACAGGACAAGCCAGAAACCTTGGGGTGTTGTCAGATCAGGCAACACTTCGGCAGGAAAAGACAAAACGACCCTGTTGGAGGAGGAGAGAGGAGAGGCAGAAGTGGAAACGCCCTGGACTGGAATAGAGACACCGGCCTCCTCTGTAACTTGCTTCTTTGGTTCTGTGATTCATATTCCTGTTCTCTGGGAGGCTGGGAGTGGAAGAGAGTGAGAAGCAGGATACAGGGGTAGAGAAAAGAGAAAGGGAGAAAGAGAGAAACTAGATGTGCATGTGTCTCTGGGGTTTTTCACACAAAGCTATTATCAAAATGCCAACCAGCTCCTGCCTGGCTGATTTGCATATTCCATGCTGTGCTCTTTGAAGATGAATATGCATGAGGGCTTGGGCGGGGTGCAGAGCTGCTGGGCTGTGGGCTAAGGTGGCTCATTGTTCTTTTAGAAGAAAGGCTTTAGTAAGAAGCCAAAGCACCTTTCCAGCAAGCAGAGTGGCCTCGGCTTCCCTTCCCCGATGAAGGGAAGAGAGCAAACCTCAGGCTCAGACAGAAACCCTAACGACCATTCTCTCATCCTCTCAAGGAAATAAATAATCAGGTGCCATCAAGAATGCAAGTATCTCTTCTCCAAGAGTAGCATTTAATTACTCTCCTCTCCACGCATACTAATTATGCAGGCTGACTGGGTGATGATAGTCACCTCTCCTGGTTTCCCTGGAAACGAGGCTGCCACTCCCCGTTTCTTGCTTCTGCTGCAAAGACAGCTGGGCGTCCTGGGGTGCTTTTTGCCTTTGACCTCTGGTGAGACCCCTAAACCTCTCAGTGACTGGGCTGTGGTGGGAGTGCCTGCGACTTAGTGGGTGCTCAAAAGAGGCTTGGGCATGGACTTGGTGAAGTCCATTAAGACTTGGGTTATAATTAACCGTAAGACACCTGGAGGACCAGGTCTTCTCATTAACGGTCTCCATCCCTTCTTCTCAGACTTAGGGTCACAAAATGCTCCCTTTGGGTTTTCTTTCTGAAGGATCACATTGGTCTCCTGAAGTAGAGATGAAAGGATAGGGACTGCTGGAATATTCCATTTGAAAAATAGTTTTTCCTGCATGATCATTTGTTTCAATTACACATAAATCAAGGCTGGCCTCTGGCACCACGGTGGAGTTTTCTTTTTTGTTTTTGTTTGAGACGGAGTCTCGCTCTGTCGCCAGGCTGGAGTGAGTGGCGTGATCTCAGCTCACTGCAACCTCCGCCTCCCAGGTTCACGCCATTCTCCTGCCTCAGCGTCCGGAGCAGCTGGGACTACAGGTGACCGCCACCACGCCCGGCTAATTTTTTGTATTTTTAGTAGAGACAGGGGTTCACCGTGTTAGCCAGGATGGTCTCAATCGCCTGACCTCGTGATCCACCCGCCTCAGCCTCCCAGCCTCGCATGTAAAAGCCTCATGCGATTACAGTCGTGAGCCACTGTGCCTGGCCTTTTTTTTTTTTTTTTTTTTTTTTGAGACAGAGTCTTGCTCTGTCACCCAGGCTGGAGTGCAGTGGCACAATTTCAGCTCACTGCGACCTCTGCCTCCTGGGTTCAAGCGATTCGCCTGCCTTAGCCTCCCGAGTAGCTGGGACTACAGGTGTGCACCACCACAGCCGGCTAATTTTTTGTATTTTTAGTAGAGAGGGGGTTTCACCATGTTGGCCAGGCTGGTCTCGACCTCCTGACCTCAGGTTATCTGCCCACCTCGGCCTCCCAAAGTGCTGGAATTGCAGGCGTGAGCCACCGTGCCCAGCCCTATGGTGGAGTTTTCTTACCAGAACTTGACCAGACTAGGCCTAGCAAAATCCTTCAATTGATGGGAACATACCTCATTTACAGGCTGTATTTGCCAGACAGACCTCTGACTTACCTAGGAGGGCTCCCTGCAGACCTTGGCTCTCCAATACACTTTGCTGAGTGCGGACGTCCTAGACGGAACTTGAGTTTTGCAATCAAGACTGACTGGGGCCCGAAAATCAGTTAATTCTTGAGACTCTTCCCTGAGGTTTCCACAATCCAGAAAGACCAGAAGAGGGAAAAGCCGAGGGAAGACAACTGGGTTCACCTGATAATCACACTATCCACAAATTCCCTAGGTTCAGCAGTGAAGAGTCAAGGATTCAGCAACTCCGAAAACCCAGGGCAGAGCTTCTCCAGTCCTTGATGAAAATAGCAGGTGCAGGGAGATTTAGCTTAATATGTAGTAGAGCTGCATTGGAACTCAAGGCACAAAACCCAGGCTCCTTTTAGGAGAAGAGCTGCCTCCCTTTTAAAGGGAGACCTTGTTAAAATGCAAATTCTGACTCAGCAGGCCTGGGGTGGGGCCTGAAATTTTGCATTTCTAACAAGCTTCTAAGTGTGGTCAGTGCTGCTGGCCTGGAAAGCACACTTTGAGTAGGAAGAACACAGGCAAGGGCAATGCACAACCATGAGGAATTGATTTCATATTCCCCTTAAACTCCAGATAGGACAAACAAGAGAGAAAAGAGGAGCCACTGTTCTCCGCCTGCCCTGCTCACCTCCTCCTAGCCTGAGCGTATCCCTGACACTCGAGATTTATTTTTAACTGCCAGCAGCTTTGATTAGCTTGTCACAGCCGCTTCAGACACCTGCTGGCAGGATAAATTGGGGGAAAGGAGTGGCTGACCCAGATCTGACAAATCAAGGCAGGAAGAAAAGCTCTCGGGAATTCGCCGCTTCCCCTTTGCTGAGGCTGGTGAAAAACCCCATCACCGGCAGAGTGCTAAACCTGCTAATGACCTCACACCACTAGTGACCCTGGGCATGTTCAGCCTTAGCACCAGTGAATTGTAGAACTGAATCCACGCCCTTTTGTCACAGAACTAGTGGTCACTTCCATGCAGCTGTGGCAGCCAGGGCTCTATCTATGCAGAGGTTCTGCTCTGGGCAGATGCCTGGATTAGAGCTTTACTCATTGTAGCAGTTTTCCCGGTGGGTAAGTCCCCGTCACCCCAAGCTGAGATTGCTAGTGTTCTGCTTCTAGAAAAGCAGAGGCCCAGCTGGGTGCGGTGACTCACGCCTGTAATCCCAGCACTTTGGGAAGCTGAGGAGGGCAGATTACCTGAGGTCGGGAGTTGGAGACCAGCCAGACCAACATGTAGAAACCCCATCTCTACTAAAAATACAAAATTAACCAGGTGTAGTGGTGCATGCCTGTAATCCCAGCTACTCGGGAGGCTGAGGCAGGAGAATTGCTTGAACCTGGGAGGTGGAGTTTGTGGCGAGCTGAGATTGCGCCACCTGAGGTTGCACTCCAGCCTGAGCAACAAGAGCGAAACTTCATCTCAAAAAAAAAAAAAAAGAAAGAAAGAAAAGAAAAGCAGAGGCCCAGGAAGGGAGGCAGGGCACTGGGAGTGACTTCTGTGTCCTCTAGATGGATTCCGTGGCCTTCTGTGGAACTGTTGATGTGATAAAGTATGGCTTTCTCTGTGGCATGCTTAGTTCAAGCAGACACTAAACTCCTGGGAATCAATGGAAGTCGCACTGGATAAGAAACCCAAATGCCAGCCTGACTCTCCCACTTCCTACACGGCCTTGGGCCAGCTACTGAACATCTCTGCTGCTTAGTTTCCTCCTCTGCAAAATCAGGATCATACTAGTACCTGTTTACACGTGGGGTGCCATGATGTGTGCTAATGCGTGGTGAAGCCAGTGCAGGCTACAACAAGTGCCCCAGTACAAGTTTTTGCTTTCAGAGGAGGATATGGGAATTGGCAGGCTCAATGTCTTTCGAGCCAGAAGATGGAAGCCAACAGAATTCAGATTGTGGTGAGATGGAGCCAGCATCCGGGATACGAGGATGACATTCACCTGCTGGCTGGTCGAGGCTTGCAGCTGCCTGCCATCAATGCTGGAGACAGTGCGAGGAGTCAGAGCTGCTGTTCATGGGAGGCTGTGGGAAGGGCTGGGGATGGCACTGCAAAGTCAAAGGACACTGTTGCCAGGGGTCGTTGGGGACAAACAGGGAGTGGTGGCCTTGTCAAGTGCAGGAAACAAGTTGCAGTCCCCTACATTGGGAAAGCTCAGCAGAGCTGACTCCCCGCAGGCCCTGAGCCTCCAGGTCCCCGTGGAGGGCCTGGGGAGGGTCTCCAGGGCCAGCCTGGCCATCCCACCAGGAGGTCTGCAGCTGTGTGGCTCCTCCGTGAGGCCCACTTTCTATCTGCTAATTGCACACTCTCACCCCGGTCTCACACCCCCTCTGACCAGCTCCTTTCTGCAGCCCCTGGTGCAGCTCCCTTGAATGTGGCTGAGCAGCAAAAACTGAGGTTGCAGAGGGTCTCCTTCTGCCTATACCATATGCAGCCCCACTGTGTCCCATGATCCCACCACCACCCACAACAGGGCATGTGCCCGGTCCCTAAACACAGCCCCGGCTGCCACGGGCCACAGGCCGGCAGTGAAGAATGCTATACAGCCCATCTCTAGAGCCTGAAACAGAGGCCTAGTGAACACCACACTCCAAAGCACGTGAAGAATATTACTTAAATGAAGGTTTTATTTCAAAATTAGTCTTACAGTATAAGCTGTTTTTGAGGGCTGGAGCCAAACTACATAATGAGCAGTGAAAGCGGCTGCCTTCCCCTCTCCGACACCAGCAAGGGGAGGCACCATCACCGGCCCTGCCCCATCATGCATCCAATGGTTACTAGCACTAGAAGCCAACAGCAAAGGACCCCGCGCGTTTGCTCATGTTTAATCCGGGTTAAGCTATACACGTTTAAATACACGTCGGAGGTTACGTGGTGTCATGCAGTCCCTGTGATGGAATGACTCTTGTTCAGTGACCTCCTGCAGCGAGGCTGCTCCAAAGGGCAAGGTTAGGTCGGGCAGAGCACTGGAACGAGAAGAGAGGAGCGGACAGCAGTCAGAACACAGCTGCAGGCCGGGACCTCCGAGCCCAGGAGAGCCCTAGCTGAGAGCAGTCACACCAGCTCCTGAGTGGTGACAGCCCCGTTTAGAGCTTAGAATAAAGGAAAGACAATGGCAGGTGGTTGCTGGCTATAATAACTAAGCGTGTAGTCTCCGGGGCCTGAGTTCAAATCCTGGATCTGACCATTACTAACTACATGACCTTAGGGAAATTAACTTCACCTTTCCATGCTTGTTTCTTCATCAATACAATAGAACGTATCTGCGCCTAACCCAGGGTTGTTGAGAGGCATGTGGCAAGTGCTTAGTAAATATTAATTACTTGTACAAATTCATTGACATTTCAGTGGATCATGAGGGGTAAAGTCTAGCCCCCAGACTACCAAATTTATATAACCTGTTTCTATAATCTTCCTTTGAGAACCTCCTTTGAGAAATATGCTGCTCTTTTAAAATCCTTGCGTCACAAATCCTTTTTATGTGTGTTTTTGTTTGTTTGTTTGTTTTTTGTTTTTGAGACAGAGTCTTGCTGTGTCACCCAGGCTAGAGTGCAGTGGTGTGATCACAGCCCCCAATGCAGTCTCAGACTCCTGGGTTCAAGTGATCCTCTCACCTCAGCCTCCTGAGTAGTTGGGACTACAGGCACACAACACCACATCTGGCTGATTTTTTTTTTTTTTAATTGAGACGAGGTTTCACCATGTTGCCCAGGCTGAACAAGTTATTTTTAATGTTTACTCTAAGTTCCTCCTGCTGAAATGTAAGATTAGTCCTTCTGATCCTTATAGAAACAGTATAGCTCAGGGTTTCTCCACTATAGGTCCCACAAATACGGTCCCTCTGCAACTGTGCATAGTTTTGTGTGCATGCAGGACAAAAAACAATAAAATAACGGATCTGGACAGTGAGCAATCCTCAATGGCTATTAACATCACAAAAGGAAAGACAGTCAGACAATGCACGTCACCCCATGGAAGTCCGGAAACCTATAACCACCTATAATGTAGTGCTTATCAAAAACTCTGAAGCTGAATCTGATCAGGCTTCCAGTTCTATCAGTTCACAGGCAATAAAGAAGACAGGAGAACATACTGAATTATACCATGAGGATGAAACTAGCAAAAATCCACAATGAGGAAAATCTATGGCACAGACAACCTAGTTTCTCCAACAAATGCATTTCAAGACATGGAAGAGAGAAAGGAAACGGAACCTCCATATATCAAAGAGATGTAAGAGACATATCATTATCTAATTGCAACATACTGATCTCTATTGGCCCCTGATTCAAACAAATAAACTGAAAAATCCTTTATGGGAAAAACAGGGAATGCTGATTGGATAGTCAGAACTAAGAAACTCTCGGCTGGGCACAGTGGCTCATGCCTGTAATCCCGCTTTGGGAGGCCAAGGCGAGTGGATCACCTCAGGTTAGGAGTTTGAGACCAGCCTGGCCAACAGGGTGAAATCCTGTCTCTACTAAAAATACAAAAATTAGCTGAGCATGGTGGCGGGCACCTGTAATCCCAGCTACTTAGGAGGCTGAGGCAGAACTGCTTGAACCCAGGAGGCGGAGGTTGCAGTAAGCTGAGATCGCACCATTGCACTCCAGCCTGGGTGACAGAGCAAGACTCTGTCTCAAAAAAAAAAGAAACTCTTAATTTTTTTTAGTTGTGAAATGGTATTGGGGCTATGGTATTGGGGTATTGGGGCTTCCTCAAGAGTTCCTATGTTTTAGAAATGCATACTGAAATAGTTATGAATGAAAAACTCTGACAGAGATTTGCTTTCAAATAACATGGGAGGGGAGAAGTTGGGTAGAGGCATAAATGAAATAAACCTGGTTGGGACTTAATAACTGTTGATGCCGGCTAATCAGCACCTGAGAGTGTATTATGCCATTCCCTCTACTCTGCTCTTGTATGTACAACCAGTTTCCATAAGAAAAGGTTAAAAAGTTATGTAAGGATGTAGTCAATTATGTCTCCAGCTTCCTTTCAAGTGCTTGAAAAGTATTAAATCATCATCGGGCTTTGTTTTTCCCAACTAAATACTAAGTAGCTCAAACTCTGCAGAATTTTCACAATAAGTCCTTTGTTGGTTTGCTGCTCCAAGGAAAGTCACTCTGGTGACTCGGGGTGATGGAATCTCCTCCTGCGGCCTCCTGGCAACACCCAAAGGCAAAACCTATTACTGCAAAGCCTCACAATTGTCCCTGATTTCCCTGGCCCCTGCCTGGCCTGGTCTGGAGTGGACAAGCTGGAAAGGTTCCCTGATGGGAGCAGGAGCTCCAGAGAAGCCCTTCTGTTCTAGGAGGCCTGGGGCTGCTCTTACCTTTTAAAATGTAGTCCGTTAGCAAAGTAGGCACCTTCTCATTATCCTCCTTCATGGCAAAGAGAACTAGGAAAGGAGAAAGAGAGGAGCTAAGATACTGTCTTAGCCTGGTCATGAGGCTCACTTCTGGGGCCACATGACCTACTAGCCCAGAGTGAGAGACAAATGATTCAAAGGAACCAGACATTTATTGACTATTGAGCAAAAGTCTAGAAGCCTCTATCAAGGGTCAGCATTTCAGGGGCAAGAGCTAAAAACTACCTATCCGGTACTATGTTTGCTACCTGGGTGACAGATTTAGGTTCAGTCGTAACCCAGACCTTGAACCCAGGAGTTCAAGACCAGCCCGGACAACATGGCAGAACCTCATTTCTAGTTAAAAAAGAAGAAAAATAGCTGGGTGTGGTGGCACATGCCTGTAGTCCAAACTACTTGAGAGGCATCGTGCAATATACCCCTGTAACAAACCTGCACATGGTGATAGAGGAGAACACAGCAAGAACCACAGTGTTTGTCTCTAGGTAGTGGATCTATTGGTGACTTTCTTTTCTTTTTTCTTTTTGAGACAGGATCTCGCCCTGTCACACAGGCTGAAGTGCAGTGGCGTGTTCTCAGCTCGCTACAGCCTCAAACTCCTGGGCTCAAGTAATCCTCCCACCTCAGCCTCCCAAGTAGCTGAGACTTACAGGCATGTGCCACCATGCCCAGCTAGTTTTCTTCTTTTTTTAAGTAAAGATGAGGTCTTGCCATGTTGCCCAGGCTGGTCTTGAACTCCTGGGCTCAAGCAATCCTCCCCTCTTGGCCTCCCAAAGTGACCTGTGATCATGCCACTGCACTCCAACCTGGGCAACAGAGTGAGACTCTGTCTCAAAAACAAGAAAAAGACCAGCCTGGACAACATAGCAAGACTTTATCTCTAAAAAAAAAAAAAAGAAGAAGAAGAAGGAAAGAAGAGTAAGAGAGAGCTATATGTACAAGACATAGTTGTCAGTGAAGAAAGAAGGATACAGAACATGTATTAACTTTATAATTAAATTCTAATGTTCATAGAAGAAATCTAGAATAATAATATATGAAACTGTTAAGTGGTTATCTCTGAGTTTAAGACCACAGGGGGCGTTCTTTTCTATGCTGCGTTTCTGTAGGGTCTGGCTTTTCTCAATGAGCATGTATTACTTTCGTAAGCCGAGAAAACACTAAAGATCAGCCGGAACTGATAGCTAGGGTCAGGAGGAGGCTGCAACAGTGGGATTCCCACTTCATTTCGATATCCTTGTCCTCCATTGATTACCTTGCCTAGTTTCAAGACAGGGTCATGAAACTCGAATCCAAGAGTTAGGAGTGCGTGAGGAAGAAAGTCCAATGGTGGCATGAGTCAGTGGCCAGGTCCAGAAAAAGAGACTCAACCTGAGGCCATTGAGGGGGTGGTTTGTTTCTGTTTTATTTCTTCTGTATCTTTAGACATGTATTCATGGCAGCGTAAGTGGATTCTAGGGGGTCCTGGTTTCTTCTGGGTTTTTTTTTTTTTTTTTTGGGATGGAGTTTCGCTCTTGTCATCCAGGCTGGGGTGCAATGGCATGATCTCGGCTCACTGCAACCTCCGCCTCCTGGCTTCAAGCAATTCTCCTGCCTCAGCCTCCCAAGTAGCTGGAGTTACAGGTGTGCACCACCACATCTGGCTAACTTTTTGTATTTTTAGTAGAGACGGGGTTTCACCGTGTTAGCCAGGCTGGTCTCGAACTCCTGACCTCAGGTGATCCACCCGCCTTGGCCTCCCAAAGTGCTGGGATTACAGGCGTGAGCCACTGTACCCGGCCTGTTTTAGTTTTTTCTGCATTTTTAGACATGCTTTCATTTCAACTTAGTTGTCAAGAATACTTTGCAACTGAGCATAAGCAGACTAAATGCCACACCACGCAGACCACGTAAAAATACAATAATTGCACTTGGCGATACGTATCTAAATTAATCTCCAAAATCTAAAAGTTACAAGGATTGTCTAGTCGCAGAAGCTGGTCTTTGGCCTATGTACTTAGTTCAAAGAGTAGAAGAGAGAAGAGGCATTGTTCACAAATTCATATGACGATCTGCCACAAAAGAGAGGCTTCATAACCTACAGGAGAATTGGTATTCAGAAAAGATGGCAGTTTTTCTTCTAAAAGCAATAAAATGTTGGAACATAGATAGAAAAGATAGCCATAAAAAGAACATTAGCAAAGTGTTAACTAATGTGACTAAAATCATGACACAAAATTTTATAGTCAGTATAATCTCAACCATGTAGAAAAGATACAAAAAATTATGGCTGAAAAGCACCAAAATAGTAACCACAGTGGAGTGGACAGTGAGTTATCTATTTTTCTTTGTTTGCTTTTCCATATTTCCAAAGTAGTCTAAATGATGGATACACTCTAGCTATGATTTTTTTAATGAACTTAAAAAATGTAAACAAAACCACTCAAAATAGAAAAAAGTCTGTTTCTTAATTAAAATGAAAAGATTTCACACTGAATTCCTGAATGGGTACCTGCAATAAATTAATAGCTATTTATTTTTTGAGCTATGATAGAATACTTTACATATATCAACTTTCATAATTTGTCCAAGTTACTTTCCAAATCTAACTTGTGTGAAAACACAAACACCTATAAATGTCAGTTCATCTCTGTTTTCTCCCTTTAAAAAAAAGCGCATATTTATGCAAATAAAGGAGTTTACAATGAGTTAAGGACAAGTCACTGTACTTTGATTTTAAAATTCCTGATTCTCAAGGACACAGTGTCTGCTGATGTAGGCAGGATTTCTGTTTGCCAGAACCTCCAGCTTTAGTCCTCCAAATTGATTAAAAAAAAAAAAAAAAATGAAATGTTTGGTCACCTTCAGCAGCAGGGCCCAGCAGATATCCATCCTCCTCAGCTGAACAGAAGCTCAACTTCCCTTCCCGGGGGTATCCAGTAGCCCCACACTGGCCCCTTCCCTCCAGAACATGCTGCAGTGGGTGGGGCCTCGTTAGCTGTCACTCTCTGCAGTGCACAGTTGCCAGGGAAATGGAATTTCCCTCGTTATCCTCTGGGCCTGTCACCACATCTCAGCCTAGGACTTTTCTCTTCCTAAAAGGGCCAAGCTGACACTGATGGCTAACACCATGTGCCCCCCAGCCCTTGGTGGGTCCTACTGTTTGATGTATAAAAAGTTACTGTCTACAAAAGGCTCTTTGTTACACACTGTTTTCCGTCATAGCTCAGAATGGTTATTAATATTTGACAACAGAGCAAAGTGGAGGAGAGGAGGCAGTCACTTCCTGGAAGGAAAGCTAGACTCTATTTTTTCCAGACAGCCTTACCCCATCCAAGAAACCTCGCTTCTCATTAAAATTACAGCCAGACCCACAGACTGGGCGCCCTGCTTCAAGGGGCACAAGTGCCGACCAGGCAACCTCAAGTTGCAGGGAGAGAGAAAACAGGGAGGCAGAGGATGCCAAGCCTTGAGAACTGCGGGGGAAAATAAAAACGTCCCCTGCACCAGCACCCCAACCTCTTTCACAGCTCTTCTCCCCTCCTGCCCCCGGTCTCTTCCCTTATGGGAACCAGGGGAAAGAAAAGACAGTTCTGGTTATCAGTGCAGAGTGTTTTAATTGTACACTGTGCAGGAGGATGAGACGCACTAATTTGGAGAATATTTTGGCCCATCTAAACCTACTTTGAGGAGTCTCGGGGCTGCGGCACCGGAGGTACAATGCACAGGCAGGAAGGGAGAAAAAGGAGCCGCTGAGCTGGCTGAGAACAAGAGGAACTCACTGTTTGTCAGCATCTGCAGGTCTTCCACTGAGGGAGGGGAGGCTTTCTTCTCGTAAGGAATGACTGTGTTCAGATACTACAAGACAAACAGCACGCAGGGGGCTTGAGACAGAAGACACGCTTCCTCTGGGCTGAAATTTAGCCTTTCTCTAAGACACACACTCTGCAAATCTGACCTTCTCTGAAACATTCACGGTCACTGGCACATCACTGTTTCAGAACTTCTTCCCCATCTTTAGGGGATGTCTCTTTAAAAGTAAGACTCTCCCACATTTAGCCAGGAAAACTTCTCTCCATTCCAACTTCTAGATTCTTCCTACACTACAGACTTCTCTGTTATTTAGGAATCCTGGGGAGCTTTTTCTCCTTCAGACTGAGAGCAGAGAATATCTCCAAGGGGATTACATTTTCTTATTCTTTGCAGAGCAATTTGATAAGGAATTCTTTCTCTTTTGTCAAAAAAGACATGCAAGAGAACCTCAACCCCGCCCAGGGTCTCCGATGTCAGATTTGCTCCCTCTGCTGGATGTCAGGTGCTCCTACAACAAAACCAGCACCAGGGCCTAGTGGGCTGTCAAAGGAGCGTCAAGGAAGCCTGAGGTGGTGAGTGCCAGAGCTCTAGACCAAAGCTAAGAAGCTCAATTTTTTTTTTTTTTTTTTTGAGACAGTCTCGCTCTGTCACCCAGGCTGGAGTGCAGTGGTGTGATCTCAGCTCACTGCAACTTCTGCCTCCGGGTTTAAGTGATTCTTCTGTCTCGGCCTCCCGAGTAGCCGGGATTACAGGTGCCCGCCACCATGCCTGGCTAGTTTTGGTATTTTCAGTAGAGTTTCACCATGTTGGCCAGGCTGGTCTCGAACTCCTGACCTCAGGTGATCCACCTGCCGCGGCCTCCCAAAGTGCTGGGATTACAGGCGTGAGCCACAGCACCCGGCCAGAAGCTCACATTTTAGTCTTGGCTGTGCCACTGGCAGTGTATGTGGCTTTGGAAAAATGCCTTGGATCTCCGGTACATAGTTCTCGCTGCCATAAAACAAGAGGACTGGGTTCGATGCTTCTAAAATCTCTTCCCGTTCTCTAGAATCTCTAGAGTTCTAGAGTTCTAGAATTAATCTAGCACTTAGAATTCAGCTACAAATATGTTTAAAACATATACACTTTCACGTGCACTCATTCCACCATCTCAAACTTTCTGTTCACGTGCCAGCCATGTCTATTAGGTTATATACTCCATGAGGACAGGGACTTTTCACCTTTGCACCTGTGGGCCTAACAACAGAGCTTAGCACATAGCAGCCACTTGATAAAAGTTGTGAATGCTGTCTTAATAACCAGAAATGCAAGCTACATCACAAGGAAATTACTGAGCCAACAAAAAGCCACAGCATCGGTTACAACCAGAGCTGGGCAGCTGCAGAGGCAGTCTTAGTGGGAATGGCTTGGCGGGTAATCCAGTGTGATGGACAGTTAATTAAACTCTGGATGGGATCTATCATCAAACGGATTCCCTTTTAATGCATTTCATCCTTAAAACAACTTAATTCTTAGACCTACAAGCAGTGTTGAATTTTAAGTCTTGCCCATGTCCTAGAACCCTAGAGCTAAAAAAAAAAAAAAAAAAGATATCCATCCTCCTCAGCTGAATAGAAGCTCAACTTCCCTTCCCGGGGGTATCCAGTAGCCCCACACTGGCCCCTTCCCTCCAGAACATGCTGCAGTGGGTGGGGCCTCGTTAGCTGT